CACTGGAGAGAAGCGAGACTGGAAAAATTCTTAACATTGTGGTGGAATTAATGTCACGTCACATTGTGCAGTACATGCACAGACACCGTGGTCAGGCTGGTGCTGGCTTGCTCCCACCAGTAAAGGTCAGTGTATGTATAATGCAACACAGGCATCCCCATCTCACGTGACCCTTCTCTAAGAAGAAACTGTGTCCGAAACAAAGCGGCGCTCTTATTGTTCACCTCAGGAGGAGCAGCAGTTTGCTTATCTGCTCACTTTGAACAGAAACTGTCTCTGTGGAAGAACTGGGAATATTTACGTCACCACTGAGCAGAAATGTGTTTCAGTGAAAGGTAATGAAAGTCTCTGCTTTGGTAATCGATGCTTTTACTTGACCAGACTTTGACCCAACATATCCTGAGATAATTTTATCTGCTCACTTTGAACAGAAACAGTCTCTGTGGAAGAACTGGGAATATTTGCGTCACCACTGAGCAGAAATGTGTTTGAGTGAAAGGTAATGAAAGTCTCTGCTTTGGTAATCGATGCTTTTACTTGACCAGACTTTGACCCAACATGTCCTGAGATAATAGCAATAGACAGAGCGAAACCATGGAGATAACGTTGATGAGAACGTACAGAAAGTGAGAAGGAAGAGCAGAATATAAAGGCAGTGAACCACCGAATCAATCACTGAGTCAACTGTTGGGCAGTTTTTATCCAGAAGTACCAATTCCTCCAGTCCTGTCTGACGGTTTACAGACCTGATGAGTTGATCGGGAGAAAAGGATTTTCCAAAGTGAGGATCTGGCTGCTGTTGGGTTCTTTGGGCTGTTGGTTTGAAGACGACATTGTGGGGATTGTGAGTGACAATTTACAACTAACAATTATTTTCATAATCACTTAATTGGGTGATTATTTTATTGATTAATCGGTGAATCACCATAAAACCATGAAAAATGCTGTCACAGTTTTTTCTAATGCCCCAAAATATTTAGTTTCCAGAGCATCAAGGTAACAAATGCAATAAATATTCAGTTTTGAGAAGCTGGAACCATCAAATGTTTCTGTTTACTAAAGAAATAACTTCTGATTAATTGATTATCAGTTAATTTTCTGATTAATCAGCTAAATTATTGTTTTATCTAGAAAATAAACAGCAGGTTAATTGATGAATCGCTCTGGATACTGTTCACTGAGTTCTGCCGTTTATAAAAAATGGCACACACACGTTGGCCAGTGTGCCAGTGGTGATGCAGATATAAGGGGACCGGATCGGAACCTGGCATTTTAAATCCTCAGTTCTGGTTCTGTGTTGGAGCCAGATCTCCAGTGCTCCATGTTCAGATGATCTCACTAATGAGGCTGCAGGACCGTGTGTGTGAATGTCTGCCTGCACTGGGAGAGGCCATTTGTTGAATTAGCGGGGCAGTGTTGAAGTGTTCAGTGATTAAAGCTCATCCTGGAGTCATCTTGCCCTCCAACCCGCTCTCTAAATACCTCTCCTGCATGTTTAGTTGGCAGTGTTGAAACCTGTTTGTGTGTGAGGCCTGTCAGTAGCACCCATTCTGCAAATAATGACGCCCTCCTATAAAGGATGTGCTCCACTCTGTACATACATCATGTGCAGATGCATGTGAGCACGTTTATTTGTATGAGCTTTAGTGCCAGTGTTGGATCACAGGGGAAATTATGCATCGCGTCTGGAGGAGAGATAAAGCAGAGGGGAAGAAGTGAGAATTGATGATGGTCAGCTCGAGGCCCAAAACAAATGGCTTCTGCTCTGAGTGTGCCTCAAACCGAATCAGTGAGGCCACTAAACTGAAATAAAAGCCACTTTTTAAAAGCTAAGAAACTCAGTTTTTCTTTGTTCCTCAGCTGATTTCTGTAACTAAACAACTGTACATTCTCAGAAGGAAGCAGAGGCCTCGTCTCAGCTGCACAGCCAAACAGGCCTGAGTACAAACTGGTTTCTAATGGTTTCCCTTGTGTTATTTCAGAAGGGAGGCTTCTCTGTGTTTACCAGTTTTAAATTTGTATAATGTACATCTCCACAGGGTCATCAGCGCGACATGGCAAGCCATACACATCTCTCTGCTTTCTCTGATTAGGGCCATAGCTAGCAAATATTTTCAATGAAATCAATCATTAGACTTTAAAAATGTCAGAAAACCATGAGAGAGATCCCTTAGTTTTCTGAAAGGCCAGTGGTTTGTGCAGCCAGTGCTCCGCAACCTCGAGATACTGACTTTTACATTCACTTCCTCAACTTGTAGAAGCTGAAACCAGTGAATCTTTGGCATTTTTGATCAGACGTGATTTGAACTATTAATTGATTATCAGACCAGCTGCTGAGTACTTTTCTCTCGACTGGCTAATGGTGAATAGTCTTGTACTTTAACACGCTGACTGGAGCAACTGGGAATCGAATCGCCGATCCTCTGGTAAGGAGACGGCCGGCTCTACCCACTGAGCCACAGGGCCTTATCTCGCAATAAACACATGGCGTGCGGTGTGGGTAGCACGTCTGTTTCCTAATTTCCTACCTGCACAATTACCATTTTCATGACATGCACATCACTTTACCTTTTCACCGTCTGTCGACTTGACGCTGGGCAGGTGTGTCCAGATGTCCAGGTAAATTTGGCCGTGTTGCTAATACAAGGGCGCGCCAGTTTGAGGCACACTCAGAGCGTCAAGCCATCATTGGGATGCTTTGACCCTGTTGTGATGCGTGCCTGTCCAAGTGCGTGCACAGTGCTCATGCACTGTGCTTGTTATACCCTGGGACGTGCTGCGCACGACATGCAACACTTAAAAAAACAAAAAGATGACTGTGTTTATTGGGCGTTGTGCACATCGATACATTTTGATTAGTGATCGTGCGCCTTCACCTCACGCACGAGCAGATCCATTTGCTCAGTGGAAAATTTTACTGACGCCCGACCTGGCAAGTCCGCCAGTATGCTAGCAACCCGCCAAACGTTCAAACTCGCTCGTCTCTTAAAGGGGATGCGAGGTTATACACAGATTGCATGTCGCGCCCAATTTAACGAGGAGATCAAGTACAGCTCTTTCGCTTCTTGAACCGTTTTCCTCACCATCAAATTACTGAAATGAACACGAACGCACCCAGACACCACTTGCGCCAGTAAATCTTGATCAGATGCTGTGGATCCTCAAAACGAGGCCCAGCATCTCCTCAGGTCACTGAGTGGTCCTTTCACCTCCAGCACTGAAGTTTCATTTTTTCTAACATGCCTGTGATTTGCAAAGCAGACCCTTGGTAGTTGGATAGGGTTTCTGTTGAGAGGAGGACGAAGCGACCTGATCGGAGGAGATAGTCTTGGCGGTCTCTCTTCTTCACTGGAGCATTATTTGAGAACTGCTGACTTCCTCATCTTTTTGCCCATGGTGCTGACACTGTCTTACAGGACAATCAGCAAGGTTAGAGTGACCGAGCAGGCCTGTGATCCGGGTCAAGAGTGAGATCTTGTCAAGTGTGTTTTTGCTAAAACCTTGCACTAATCATGTAAAGCCACAGACAGGATCCCGATGCACGCAAACACTGTGTGTCTCAGCGGTAGTGATGGAGCCATTAATCAGGCCGACAGTTGGCATCATTAGATAATTAACATTGACCGATGTCTAAAATAATATTGGGACTATTTTCATAATGAATGTGGTAAATAAATGTTTAGCAGATGTTTCATTTGTCGTTATTTTATCTGCAAAAACATGTATATATCAGCATTACATTACGCCCTTTGGCCTCCCTGCTCTCTAAAAGATCAGCATCAGCCATTGAAACCCCATATTGGGCGACCGCTGCTCAGTGGCGTGCAGCCTGTACCTGCTCCTGCATAGCTCATTATAGTGGCAGACGTTCTGCAGGGGTTGGGGGATCGCCGTAATTCAGTCGACCCAGTCTCCTGTATGTCTTCATTGTGTCTCCGCACCATTATACACATAGAGCGAGTAGACATGGAGGCACTTTCCATGGCAACAGCGCGACTCATGTCTGCACCCAGCGTGGACACATTTTTACCCCCCACCCTGGTCAGATAATGTTTCAATGAGTGTGGATGTGACTACACGTTGTGAGATTTTTATCCATTGGTGTGTGAGTGCAGCACAGTCAATAACGCCTGGTGCGTTTTCTGTCATTATGAGCTGCGTGCGTGTGTGTGGGCTCTGAATCAGCCACTGTAGCAGCCCTAATAAGAACCTTAGTAAAGCTAATACAGTAAATGGAGCGGCCTTTCTTTCTTGTTTATGTGGTGTTACACTTGTTTACTGTGCCTGTTTGACACATGGATGATCCACCGGTAAAACATCACCCACTGCCGGCTCTAATATCCTCTCATCTCAAACAGGGCTGGAGCAATTTTGATAAGGATGAGATGATTGTTTAGTTTAGTGTTATCAGAAAGTAGTGAAAATGCCTGTTACTTATGCTAAAGGTCATGTTTCACACATCTAGTTTTGCCTACACTCCTCTAATCCCACTACCGACTCGGGTACATTTGGACTTGAACAATGTGACATTTTTCTTTTTACTTTTGACATTTTTGCCGATGAAACTTGCCCATGATCCATCTATTACAGAGGCTCTGGAACATTTTTATTGAACATCCATGAATGAATTTGACCTAAGGTCAGATCATGTTTATTGGTCAGTCAGTTGCAGTGTGAGCACACACAGTAGCTTTTAGTGCTGGTCTGTGGAGGAATAACTGAGTGCCTTTCACCCCATTTCTCTTTAACATTTGTTCTGTTGTACAAACGGCGAGAGACGCATCCCGCTGCATCAGCTGACAGTGGCAGCTCCTGTCGTGTTGAACCAGAGCGAGTGCTGGATCAGCAGATCTACCATCATTGCTAACTTCCAGAGCCTGACACAAAACTAATACACAGCTCTAGAATCTTCTCAGTCCTACCAGGTTCACTGCAACCACCAGGGAGGGTTTGTAAAACAGTTAGTAGCACGGGCTGATTCTCTTCTTTGTGTCCTCCAGGCTTCCTGCTGTTCAAGGACTTCTGTCTGAACGAGATCGACGAGGCCGTGCCACAGCTCAAGTTCTATGAAGAAGTAAGTCTGAAGTGTCCCATGCATAGGGCTTAAACAGCAGGATGGGATGGCTGAGAGATTAGGCCTGTAATCCCACTCATTCAGGTTTCTCCCTCGCAGGAAGCGCTTTGCTTTGTTTTGACGTAGAAGATAACCTCGTGTTTGTGTTTCAGATTAAGGACTATGAGAAGCTGGACTCGGAGGAGGAGAGGCTGAGCCGCAGCCGGCAGATTTATGACGGCTACATCATGAAGGAGCTCCTGTCCTGTTCACATGTGAGGATGCCACACCGTGTCTCTGATGCACTCTGTGTCACGTACAGGGGAACGGAGCATGCACCTGGTGACAGGAGGAGCCTGTGGTTTGCTAGTGCAGTGGTTCTCCGTGCAGGGGTCTTTCCGGTCTCCCACCCAGTGGGTCACAAGCTAAAACTGAGTGTTGTGAGATGATCGGCAGGGTAAAAATTTTTAGAAATGAACAAAACCATAAAGAATGTTTCTATAACACACAAAAAGGCAGCACTGTTCCACATTCATTGCGTGTAAAGAGTTTGCAACATCTGTGGCTGAAAGAACTCAACTCATAGATGGTTTCTGTTAGAAGTTGACATTTCTCACTTTTGTTCTTTAGAAAAAAAGCAATGAACACCAGACTGCAGTCATGCACATATTATTTACTGCCTCTAGAAGTAGGTTTGTTCATATTCACCACAACAAACACGCCACTGTGCAGCTCTTGTCCTCCTGCAAGGCAAGAGTAAAGCAAAGCTAGTGCTCGCTGCTAGCTACAGGCAGGACGTTATTAAACACACCACCCACATGCATGCCGGTCTTCTCAGTAGCAGCCTCAATGCAGTTTAATATCCTGGTCATGTTATACTAGGAAACACACATCCTCACACACAGAAAGCAGAACTGCAACTACCGGTAAAACTGTATTCTTTTTCTATTCCCCTGTTTCTCGTAGCCATTCTCTAAAAAAGCAGTGGACCATGTGCAGAGTCACTTGGCCAAGAAGCAGGTTCCCCCAAATCTATTCCAGGTAAAGGACATTTCAGCACAACACAACAATGCACATCATTTTTTTCTTGTTCTATTTGTTTCTAAATTAGCAACACAAAATACAGAGAATATGATTGACTGTTCAAAATGGCTGATTTGTTTAGACTTGGCCACAGCAGCTCGCAGGGCCCTGAAACCGAAGCAGCTACATGAAATTCAGCCATGTTTCGTGTTATTTGCATCTCCCATTAATAATGTTACTTTCAGATTCATACAGTACAGTATGAAACAGTGAAGATTAATGTGATTAGAAATAGACGATACTCAGCACAACAGCTAATTTGGGCCGGGATCAGTACCGGTTGACAGTGACACACACATGTGCACATACACACAGTAACCGTTGCACACAGCACTGGACGATGCCGCAAAAGGCTTTATCACTGTTTTCACAGTAAAAAAAAAAAAAAAAAAAAAAAATCTTTCCCAGTGAGAGTAAATATTCCCTAAACCTTAAAAGTCCTGAACATGAAAAAATACCAACTGAGCTACAAACAGAAATTCTGTTTTAATCAATAAACAAATGAACAAAAAGCTTTGAGCACATTTGTGTAACTATAAATCCTGCAGAGTGAGATGAGCTCGTATCTCAGCACAGCGTCAGTAAGAGCAGATAGTAATGTTGCACTTTATTGCTGGGTTGGGTCCTGAGCACAGGGGTGGATCTAATTGCTGGAAGATTGCACTCTGCAAGGTACATTTGTTTGTATAGTGCCTTTTAATAACAGAGCACTTCAAAATGCTTTGCATAAGACACACCGTAAGAAGATATAAAGACACTAATAGGATTTTAAAAAGTAAAGTCAAATAAAAAGACAAATACAACAGATGACAGTGCAGTCTATGGCTGCACGATATATCGAAAAAATATCGTTATCACGATAATAGTATGTGCGATATGCGTATCGCAAAGACGTGCGATAAATTAATAATTTCATATAGTATTTTATGCGTTTGTTGCACATGTTTGGTGTTTATCTGAGTTTGACCAATCAGACGCGACCTTAACGCACCCAGCCATCCACCCCCCTAGATACTGTTCTCCTATTGGCTAGAGCGGACCCATATGCGCACAGTGACTCGCAGCAGCAGCGGGAGAAGAGGAAATGAGCGAGGACAAAAACAACGAACAACGTGTGCCCAAAAAGAATAGCACTTCTGAAATATGGGACTATTTTGGCTTCTGGAGAGAAGACGTAGCACAGACACAGGTACTGTGCAAGTCATGTCGGAAAATAGTGGCAATGTCGAGAGGAAACACAACAAATCTACACATTCACATGGAGCGGAACCACAAAAACCTATATGATGTCTTCAAGTCTAAAACTCCCAAAACTACTAACGTGAGGGCAGGTTACAAAAAAACGATCCACAGACAACCATTAATGAACGTTTTGCCAGTGTCACTCCTTACGAAAAAACGTCGAAGCGCCACAAAGCTATTACCGCAGCTGTTGCGCGTTATGTAGCCAAATGCATGATCCCAGTTAGTACCGTGGGCAAAGAGGGCTTTTTGGATCTAATGAAGGAAGTGGACCGGAGATACCAAGTGCCATCGCGCAATTACTTCTCCCAAGTC